GAAAGAGGCATGGAACAGATTCTCCCTCAGAAGGAACCAACACCCTGACTGCAGACTTCTAGCCTCCAGAACTGTGAGGAAACACACTTGTGTTCTTACACGGCCCCCAGTTTGCGGTACTTTGTTATGGCACTCCTTGTGAATAGTGCTCAAGGAGGACTACTTGTAGTTTTCTTTATCTCATCCTCTCCACTTTCCTGGTCTTTATCCACCTCTTCTCATCATTTACCACTCTTAATGAGCCAAGTACATAATGGAATGAACCCTTCTTCAATTATGAACATTTACTTAAGACTTTTCCTTCCACGCTGGGCTCAAAGTCAGAAGGACAAGACCCAGCCTGCAGTAGGAGACTTTCTGGATGAAGTACACATCTGAAACCTTTGGCTGTAACATTTCTGAAGCCTGTGGCCTAGGGACAGATTTGAATCTTTAGACTGAAGGAAGACTTTGCTCCCAAACCCTGACGGTGCTTGGCTGCTAAGTGTAGTTGCCTTCTGACCCTACTAAACGTAATAGAAGAAAAACTTTAAACACCAGTGACTGGACATGGTCCTACTTTAAGGTACACTGCAGTCTGCCCAATTCTCTGGATAGCCCTTGGCTGCGAACAGTGTATTCCTGGTTTACTGCCAATGCCCTTGATCTGCGTGCTCTGGCATTTACTTGGGAAAATCATGCTAAGTTGCAAGCCAGGGCAACAAGAGCCGACCAGCTCACAGGAGATGCACGGATGGCTTGATGGCCCTGAACACTTAAGTGATTTTGTTCCCCTTCCAATTTCCTGTGGTACATTAACTTTTATTGATAGCTCACAGCATCAGCAACTGGTCTTGATTTTACTAACCTGAAGGACAGAGGAACAACAGGCTTCACACAGCTGACATGCCAGAAAAAATAGCGTGGCAAGTCTTGATCAGTCTCCATGTTTATTCCCTTGCTTCAGCTTTCCTTTAATGAGGGAATCACATTTATTGCAAGTTAATCATGTCTCGGGCCCCAAAAGGGAGGGAGGGTGGCATGACCATTTAGAAATCTGACCATGGCTCCCTCCAGCAGACTCTGCGAGGCGCAGCAAGGGATTTGTGAAATTCCAGGTACTGATTTATGTCGCTGCTACAAAGATGGGCAGGAAAGGTTCTTGGGTGTTTTCATGACATGAGTATTAAACAAAAGTTGAGCAAGGAGCTACATGGGAAATCTATGGAATGGAAGACAAAAAGACCAATTTTTTCATGGCTCTGAAGAAAAGTAGAATCAGCACCCCTCAGTTCCACCACCTTCCATACACAGGATCAATCATGGAGCAAACTGTGTGTTTTGGTCTCATGGATATTGGGAATGGTACTAACTGTGTTTCCTTTTCTGCATGGAACACTATCAGCCCTAGACACCCATTTAAGGCTAAATACCACAAATGCAGGGGAAAAACTGAGACATGTATTTTAAGTACAAGAATGCCCGCTTCACCATAAGCTTTAAAAAATCATTATTATTACTAAAAATAAGCAATAATAGATAGGGGGCCAGGCACTATTCTTTGCACTTTATATATCTTGTCTCTCAATTCGTCCTCAAAGCAACGCTAGGAAGTATAAATGTGTAGTGACATTATATTCACAGACGAAGAAATCCAGGTTCACGTAGCATTTGAAAATTGTCCAGTGCCTCAGACATGAAGAGGCAGAGCCAGGATTGGAATCAAAGTCTTCCACGTCTGAAGGTCTACATGCATGACACGAAAAGGACATCCCACTGCCTCTACATCCTTAACCTAATAACATCTACAAAGACCCATTTTTTCAAATGAGGTCACATGCCCATGTTCCAGGGATTTGGACACACACGTATCTCTTTGGGGGCTACCATTCAACCCACTACAACAGTTTCTATTTGTGAGAATTTATTACACAGCAATAGAGCACTAGTACAGTGACCTTCTGTTCATTCATCCATTGGTTTGTTGGTTCAACAGATAATTATTGAGTATTCGCTGTGTGCAAGGCACTGTGCTGGGCTCCAGGGGCACAGGAGTAAACAAAACAGACTTCGGGACCATCCAAATGGAGCTTAGAGACAGGAGATTCACTCTGAAGTGCTCTTCATAAATGGTAGCCATGAATTGAAAGGTCAAGGTAGGGCTAATAGTGATTTCGAGCAGTGATTCTTAGTACTGAGCACCAAGAAAATCTGATGGAAGACAAGGACTCTCTCCCCAGAAAAGTACAAACAGGATGTATTATTCCAGAGGATTCTACAACACCCACAGGCCCTTCTACTGTAAGGTCCATAGTTATGAAAGCTTGGATCAGAGATTCTTAAGATCCCTTTGACACAGAAATCTGCTAAGGACTCTATGTTCTAGGAATGTCTGTCCACTTTTTCCAAGCTAAAAGTCACTTGATGTCACCACCAATAGCAACAATAACCAAATCCTTCTCAAAACTTCACAACGAGAAAGGAAAATTCTAGCCTTGTTACAAAATGTTACAATCTGGACTGGAATACATGGCAACGTAGTACATTTAATTTCTTTTCTTCTCTACCTATTTCAATCATTTTCATAATTTTTAAGACAGCAAGTATTCAACCAACTTTTGAAACACCAAAAGAAAGAAATGAGTTAAAGAAAAAAAAAAAAAAAAAAAACCTGGGGATTCAAACAACTTTAAAACTTTATTAAAAACTTAAAAAAAAGTGACACAATGTTTACGAGACAATTGGAAATACATCCTTGACTTCAGACAATGCTTTTAAAGAGTTTGTGCTATTTTTTGAGTGTGATAATGGTATTGTAGTTATGTTTTGGAGGAATCCTTATTTTATGGTGACTCATAGTAAATATTTATGGATAAAAAGACATAATGTCTTAGATTTGCTTCTATAAAATATTGGATGTGGGACAAGCAGATGGGGGGAGGTAAAACAAAATTTGGCACATACAATAGTTATTGAAGTTGGATGATGGACTGATAGGGGTTCATTATAATCTTCTGTCACCTTCTGCATATATTTTGCATTTTAAAAAATAAATAAATAGATAAATGGACAGAAGAAGCAAAAAATAATGTTTAAATACAGTATAGCTAGACAGACGGAAAGATAAAAACCTGGGAGAAAAATCCTCTCTGAACAGTCTAGGCTGGGTCGCTGTAACTCCCCAATTTTAGCTGATTTCCAGGCGTCTCTCACGAATGCCCACACATCTGACAGAGTGACGAATCTGTAAGAACTAAAGAATATGTATTTGGTAGCACTGACAGGGGCACACATAACTACCTGAAATTACATTAAATATTTATTTGTTGTTCATTGCCTGTCATCATAAGTTCTACGAGGGGAGGGACTTTGTCTTCTTTTTTGCTGCATTTTCACCTCTTAGAACAATGTCCGGGACATGAGAGGTGTTTCATATACATATATATGAAATTCATGGCAATTTCTGTTTTGAGAATTAACTAAAAAGTTTACACATGAAAATGGTATTTATCTACGCCATTATTAGCATTATATGTCAGGATACATCATCAAATTCATTAGGTTCATTATAACTTCTCACACAAGAGGAGAAAGTGTGTTTACTGGGAGACTGTTTTATAAGTAATTGAAAACAGGAGATAAAAACACTGTCTTTAAAAAGCAAAAAAGAAAAATGCAATGTTCAAGCACATTAAATTGTATCTATGCTGGCTTTCTTCCTTTGAAAATAACTATCAATGTCAACCCCTTAAAAATAACCATCAGTCACTATCAATGTGGTAATGGTCACACTGTTTGCAAGCTGTTGTATCCTCTTATGCAGGAGTCCATGGACACATTGAGTGTATTACAGTCCTTCCTCCCTAACAGATTTACAGGGGCTCGTGAGTTTTAGGGACTACCACATAAAATGCTGAATGTGAGGATAGCTGCTCTAAAACCAAAAATGTAGTGACAGAAAGAATCTGAAGTTTCACCAACAGCAACTGGCCCTCTGTAATGGGTGCTAATGATAAAAATTGAGCTTTAACACATTCCATTTTTAATTAATTTTTAATACTAAAAAAAGCTTTTCTTTTTCACCACAAGACCCATTTCTCTCTGGTGAGATTCCCAAAGGTACGCCTGATCTTTTCTGGAAGGCACGGCTCTTCTAATTAATTAGAAATTGCAGGAGCAGGAGGGGGTGGGGGTAAAAAGCAGCAGGGGGTGAAAAATCAAATTTATTCCTGTCCTTCTACTTCCCTTTCCCTGCGACTCATCCATAGCTTTATGTTTGCGAACCAAACGAGTGTTAAACTGATTTCATGCCGGTTCACTGTGTCTCTCTCCCAGGCTGGCCAGGTCTCTGGGCCTGAGATTGGCAGGAGAACGCTAATGTCTTACACTGGCCACTTCATCAATTATACTTGTGAAATCTAGATCTTTTGCTCCCTCTTTTCTTCTTCTTGAATTAAAAAAAAGAAAAATTTAAAAATAGCATATGTTCTGGCAAAGATTAGCCCAAAAGACCACAACTACCATGGCTTCTACCAGACTGAGTCTAGCAAAACTAGACAGTGCCTGGCTACTACCACCAACTGCTCTGACAGGGATCATAACAGAGGGCTGATAATAGAGCTGAAGAAAAACATAGAACAAAATTCTAACTCCCAAAAAAAGACCAGAATTACTGGTCAGAGACTGGAGAAACCCCGAGAGTATGGCCCCCAGACACCCTTTAAACTCAGTACTGAAATCTCTCCTGAGGTTCCGCCTTCAGTCAAAGATTTGACAGGCCCATAAAACAAAACGAGACTAAATGGGCATATCAGATCAGGTGCCGGGTCTAGAAGGCAGGAGGGGGCAGGAAAGCTGGTAATGGGGAACCCAAAACTGAGAAGGGGAGAGTGATGACATGTCGTGAGGTTGGCAAACGATGTCACAAAACAGTATGTGTATCAATTGTTTAATGAGAAACTAATTTGTTCTGTAAACCTTTACCTAAAGTACAAAAAAAAAAAGGTACCCGTTCTTCCTGTTTGGGCTTGGAGCTAGTTTGCAGCAACATGGCTGAATACACCAACAAGGTCAGACTAAGCAGTGAATATGGGAAATGTTATGGCGCCTCTCTCAGGAAAACGATGAAGAAAACTGAAATCAGCCAGCATGCCAAGTACACTTGCTCCTTCTGTGACAAAATCAAAATGAAGAGATGAGCTGGGGGGATCTGACACTGTAGTTCCCGCTTGAAAACAGGATCCGGTGGTGCCTGGCCCTGCAACACCACCTTTGCCATCATGGTAAAGTCTGCGATCATAAGACTGAGGGAACTGAAGGAGCAGTGGAAGCCCCACCATTTGAAACATCTCTAACCTACAGCAAACGGGTTAATTTATGTAACAACAGGAATAAAAAAAAAATAGTACGTGTTGATGGAAAGAAATGTAAACATGACAGAGGTATATAAAGGGGAAAAAAATTTCCCTCCTCAATCCCCATGTCTCTTCCCATGCCTGTTTTTAAAGAGTTATTACTATTAACAGCTAATGTGTATCTCCTCAGTCCGTATCACTTTACAACCCACTCATTGCCCTTGAGTCAATTCCGACTCATAGCGACCCTACAGGACACAGCAGAACTGCCCCATAGGGTTTCCTAGGCTGTAATCTTTACAGAAGCAGACGGCCACAGCTTTCTCCCGAGGAGTGGTTGGTGTTTTCTAACCACTGACCTTTCGGTTAGCAGCTGAGTGCTAAACCACCGCACCATCGGGGCTCCTAGATCACTTTATAGGCATATACAAACACACAAAAACATTTAGGCACATGTAGACCAGTCTTTTTTAAAAAAAAAAAAATCTGGTAAAATAATATGTGTATTGTTCAGCACTTTGCTTTTTTCACTCAACATTATATCATGGAGAGCCTTCCATAATATATATGTTTAGATCTATCTCTTTAATTTTTTTTTTTTGTTGCTATCTGATATTCAAAACTGTAGAAAAAGTATAACTCAATTAAACACTACCCTATTGATAGGAATTTAGAATGTCATAGGTTCAAAATATAAATAAACGTGTTTGTATGTATGTATATAAAATAATGATAAAACAAATTCTTTAATTCTCCTATTTGGATTAAAAATAATCTGTTGCCATCGAGTCAATTCTGACTCAAAGTGACCCTACAGGACAGAGTAGAACTGCCCCATAGGGTTTGCAAGGAGCAGCTGGTGAATTTGAACTGCCGACCTTTTGGTTAGCAGCCAAACGCTTAACCACTACGTCACTAGGGCCCCACCTATTTGGATAGCCTTGCACATTTATTGAAGTATTTCTGTATTTTCTGGTTCAAATGGAATTTCTTGATCAAAAAGTATGCTTAATTTGGGTAGAAATTGCCAAATTGCTCTCCAAAATGACCAAAATAATTTACACTCCTATTAGTAGTATGTGTTCTTTTCTCTTGTTCAGGGAAACTTTTTAGAAAATGTAGTTATGAGCATGAATCAAGGTTTTATTATAATCTTGCTACAAGGCAAAAGGCCTGTCGCAGATGAATTCAAAGATTAGCTCTTAGTGGAGACATTTTATAGGGAAATAGAATGATAAGACAGTCAATGTTAGGCTAGATACAAAAAGAAAGGCACTTGGTTTAAGGTCCCTAGGCTCTTGACTGATAGTTGCTGTGTAGACAGGTGACTGATTTTCCAGAACAAGTTTTAATCACATTAAAGTTTATCAGAAAATTGCTTAAGCAATTTATCAGAAGTGAGGTTGTGACTTATATCATGCAAAAAGGTTCTATTCCAGATCAGATTTGGGACAACTTTTCTTTTTTATACGCTTTTACACTCTACTTTCTCATCAACATGAAAGTTCTCTGTCCTCTTAACTTTCGACCATGGTGCAAAATGGGATCTCGTTGTTGTTTAATTTCCATTTCCATGAATCAAATATAATGTTGAGGCTTTCTTCATGATGGTTCAATTTTCTTTACTGTATTTCCTGTTCATTAACTTTGCCCATTTTTCTATTGGGTGGTCTGCAATTTTCTTCTTGATTTATAAAGACTGCATATTTGGGGCAAAGCATATAAGTCTGTGTGTGATATATCTATATATATATATAGATAGAGATACACACGTGTATATATCTATAGCTATACACATACTATACATACAACTATTCTGTCTCATATGAAACTAAATTTGAAAAAAATCACTGAATTATATGCCAGCCTCCCATTGTATCTGAAAGGGATTATTTCCATTTCTACTTTAATGTGAAACGTAACTATGATCCACTTACTCCCTGCTTCAAGGCCTTCAATGCCTCCCCATCTCCTATACACTAAATCCAAGTCCTTTGCATGGTCCTTCACAATATGGTCCCTGTCTAAATCTTTAACACTGTCTTCCACCACTCAGTTCTGCCCCCTTCATGCCCAACAATACTATTTCTAGTTGCCCAGACAGAATGTCCTGTTTCATCCCTGCATACCTTTCATGTGCTGATCCCTCTGCCAGAACGTCTGCCCTAGACTTTATCTCCCCTCCACAAACTCCTATTTGTCTTCAGCGCAGTGGTTAACAACTCAGCTGCTAACCAAAAGATGGGCAGTTCACATCCACTTGCTGCTCCTTGGAAACCCTGTGGGGCAGTTTGAATCGACTTGACGTTAACGGTTTTTTTTTTTTTGGCTCCTGGAGGAAGCCCTCCCTAATTGCTTCCTTCATTCCACTGGAGATAAAGCTGGTTACTTGGTATGTACCCTGAGTACTTGTGTACGTACCTATTATTGTCTGTCCATAGATCATTTTGATTTATTTGTCCCCACATCTGCCTTCCATAAAAGACTATGAGCTACTTGAGGGTAATGACTCAGCCCTACTTTCCCGCTATATTCCTGAGCTTCAAACAGAGCCTGACTGACCCAGGATAATCAGTTACTGTTAAGTTGCTTCTGACTCATGGTGATTCCAATAGAACTGTCCTCCATAGAGTTTTCAACGGCCTGGGTGAACTTGAACCTCCAACCTTTTGGTTAGCAGCCAAGTGTGTTGTTTGCACCACCCAGGGACTCCTAACCTAAGGTGGAAGCCCAGTAAATATTTGTTGAATGAACAGAAATATTCTTTGTAATAATAATAGAAATAATAGAAAATCCCCAGAAAGTGATGAAGTCCATATAGACTTGAAATTGAGAGAGCATAAATTGTCTTCCCTGTTCTGCTAGCTGCGTCTCTGGAATTTGATGGACTGCAGCTCTGTGCAGGAAGTGTTAACACAAACATCACTGATGTGCTTGGGGAAATTTTATCGTCTGCCAGATTTACAAACTGGAATCGATCTTCATTCAACCAGTTTTGCCAAAGTTTCTGCAAAGTGAACATCGCTAAAGATAGGTGCCTTTCAGATCACCTGTGATTAAACTCAATGCATTTGTCTTCAAACAAGTGTTTTTTTTTTTCTTACCGCAACATATAATTTTAGTCAGCTAACACTAAATTAGACACCCACTCAGATTTATTATGATAAGAACATTCAGTAAGCTAATTTCAAGATGATGACTCCTATAAATTCTTATAATTTATTATTTAGTACTTTGGTTTTTAATCATTAAGTACGTGAAGACTTTGTAGGTCAAACCTGTATTAATGAAGACAGTAATCTATTTTTCAAACTCTGCTCCTCACCCACCTTTCAAATTGTAAATTAACAGAAATAGATTTAAACACACTTGTAAGAACAAAGGCAATAATTGGGGGGTGGGGGGCCATCACCCCCGATTGCATAATCTTCCTAGGTAGACTGTCGATCATATTCTTGACTTATTTATGCCATATATACTGATTTGTTTGAAATGGAATAATGGAGTTTAAATTTGAGAAGCCAACTTAGTTCACTAAGAAAATAAAAAACCTATAATCTAAGTTTAATGTTTGGTTAAAAAAACAATAACAAAAAAAGCTGTTCAAATATCAGCAGATATAGATTTCATTAGGTGTTAATCTTAACCCAGTGCAGTCATTTTTATTACTTTTCTCTGGGATCTTACAGTTTTAGAGATGCACAGACAAGGAAGTAAAATATTAACTAAATAAATATTTTAGAAAGCTATCAATGTTATCTAAATGAGAGTCTTATTTATCTCCTGAATTCATTGCCTGCTTCATGATAACTTCACACATTTGGTGCTAAAAGACTTTAGGGTTTTATTTTGGCAAACAAAAGGGCCTCTTTTGATCGACTGTATGCAAATAATAAACAGAATTCCTGCATTGTAACATCTTTTCATGTTCTCTAAAAAAAATTAATTTTTATTATGATATAACACGAGCTCTTCATAAGCAATTTGAAAAACTAGAGCAGAAAGAACAATGTTCATTATTATAACTTTAATTGAGATAAAACAATCAGAATATAAAATGACATAAGTGTCTAGCAAAATCACTACTGTGTAAAAACAATCATGGATATGCTGAGAAAAATCTAGAAGGAAATATAGCAAAATGATAATGGTGGTTATCTTTAGGTGGTGGTACCACAGACAATTTTATTTTTCATTTCCTCTGTTCATTTTTTAATCTAACATTCTAGAAATTCCTTCAGAAATAAAAAGGCATATGTTTGCATCCATAATATTGAAAGCATTTTAAATTACATCAGTGTCTGAATCTTCATATGATAGATAGACAGTCAGTGTCCATTTTACTTGAAGACTTATTGCTGAGGCATTTGCTATTGAATTATTATACCCAGGACTACTTGTGGCATCTCTCGGTTCAGTGAAAACCTCCCTGGGATATACATATGCACTTATAAAGTACACTTCATAACAGGAAGCCAACTATATCCCTACCATGCTGCAGAGGGCATGCTAAATTACTTTAGAAGTATTTTTTCTACTCTCCTATCCACCTTGGGAAGGGTGAAGCAGGTTCTTCTCATTCTTGATGGGAAGAACAGATACAGATTCAGCCTTATAATCAAATGGTTTTCTGAAGAACAGAGACCAGTGAAAGGGTTAAGCAAATTGGGTTATGGGAAGTTTGCTGAAATTGGATTTCTGGATTTTGATTGTCAATAACGAAATAATGATAATTCGAATAATGCAAAGTACAAGGAAAGAGCACCTACTATTTACCATGCATTTGCCATGACTATGTGCAACATTCAATTAAACACCTTACAGATATTAAATCCCCACACTAACTGTAGGAGTTATTCTCTGTATGTGTGGACAGAGGGGTGGTTGAATTGGGACAACTGCACGGTTAACAGTGAGCTGCTGTATAGATTATGTCCTTCACAGGACACCAAGTAGACACCGAGCTGGTAGACCAAGAGTGCTGGTCTCTCCCTCATGGTGACCATGCCCATTGCAACATGATGGCCATCCATCTTCCTGCTGGTTAAGGCAGCTGTGCCTCTGTAAGTTATTTCTGCAAATGGTTCTCAGCACCGTCATGGAAATATGATTACAACTAGCAGAAACAGAAGTGTGCCAACTTGTTCGCAAGAATAACAACTGTGCTAAATAGATGCATCCGGGCATTAGGAGTTACAGAATCTTAGAGGAGGTAAGAGAGGTCTCTGTGTCTAACTTTCATCTATTTTGGGAATCTCTTCTATGAGATTGAAAACTGGTGGTTCAACCTCTTCATTACCTTACTGGTAGGAGGAGAAGCAGACTAATCTAGGTTTCACTTTCTGCTTCAGGGTCAGCCCTAGGCAAATCTGTTAATTAGGCTAAATTTGGCCTGCTTAAATAC